GTACTTTCAGCATTCTTCACCAGCACCACAACTCAAAAGCATCAACTCTTCTTTGGTCTTCCTTATTCATTGTCCAGCTCTCACATGCACACAAGATGATTGAAAATATCATGGCTTGTGTCATGTGCACCTTAGTCGTCAAGGAGGCATCCTTACTCCTCAGCACTTGAAAGAGTTCCTTCACAGCTGAGCTTCCCAGTGTTACATGTTGTCTAATGTCCTGACTTCTACTTCCATTGGCGCCGATTGTATGGAATGGCAAGAGGTCCCAAATAGCTAAAGCAATGTTGAAAGAGAAGGACAAAGTAGAATGGCTCACACTTCCTAATTTTAAAACATACTATACAGCTACAACAATCAAAATTGCCTGATGCCGGTGTAATAATAGACACATAGACCAATGAATTGAATGGATACTGCCTCAGCAACCCAAGGAGGGGTTGCTGTGAGTCGGGTCCGACTCGACGGCACATAACAACAACAACAACATAGCCTGTGAGGTGTAGAGGCCAAGGAGCGGAGCAGTGACCTTTAGAAGTGCTCACGTAAGCAATAAGGCAAAAGACAATTAATGTATTAGACAGCTTAAGAAGTGTTCACTATTTATAGACTGTCTCGAGTGCTAGGTGCTGTTAGAACCCTGTTATTTTCAGGAACAGCATTAACTTATAATCAGTGTTGTAGCCACAGCTACTAAACTGAAGTTCAAGTCCTTCGCCCCCCCTTCACATCGTCCCCCATTTAAAAAAAAAAAAACTCATCAGTTGTTTTTGTGTTGTTGGTTGCAGTCAAGTTAATTCCAACTCATGGCACCTCCATGTGTCACAGTAGAACTACCCCATAGGTTTTCTTGGCTGTAATCTTAATGGAAGAAAATCACCAGGCCTGTCTTCTGCAGTACCGGTGAGTGGGTTTGAACCACCAACCTTTAGATTAGCAGTCAAGTGTAAACCATTTGTACCAACTGGCTAAAAAATACCACTTATTCCATAAATATTTACATGGTGTCAAGTTTAATTTAGTGTCTGCTTTTTTCTATTTCAGGTACGAAATGAGCCTCGGAACATTTCCATTTCAGCAGAATATATTGCCCAGGTGAAAGGAATCTCAGTGGAAGAAGTTATAGAAGTGACTACACAGAATGCATTGAAACTTTTTCCGAAGCTTCAGCAGCTCCTCCAGAAATAGCTTCAAAACCATGAATTACCAAACCAAATCAGCTGCACGGGACAGTATTTGAGGGGAGAGAAATGTTCTAATTAAGAATCTGAACTGAAAAAGCCATTATATAGAGCTATAGAAGATTACAATTTTAGAGAGATATTTTCTCTTAACTTGGATCCTGGAACCCTGGTTTCTGCTTCCAGCCTTGTGTTGCTTTTCAGGTAACAGTCCTAGCAGGAGATGTGGAAGCACTGATGCTTCTAATCTTGCTCCGTTAAATAGAACCACCTCATGAGTTGAAACCATTTCTTCAGGGAAGGGTGGCTCCCACACGGCAGAGATAAGCTCTACTGTGGTGAGGAGGAAGCAGGCTACACTTTGATCCTTCACCACCTGTTTTACTTCCCTTAGGAGTGATCCGGTGAAGGGAGAATGTCTAGTTTCTTATACTGTCAGAAATCTTGTTTTCTATGTTTGTAAAACTGAACTTTTAATACTTCTGTTTTCTTTCCTTTTTAAGAGAAAAATACAGTTTTCATATTGATCTTTGACTTATAAGGCCAGCAGTTTGTACTGTCACCATTAAATACCAAATCCCAAAGTCTAGTTAATAAACTAATCTTAAGTCGCAGTCTGAATTTTGTCACATTCACTTTTATTTACTTTTTTAATAAAGTTGACTGACTTTATTAAAAATATATCTGACTTCTTTATGTGCAATAATGTTTTATATTTTTAAGTTTTAAGAAATGTATAGTTAACCAGCTATAGTTAACCTTATCAAAACCTGGTTATTAATTTTGTTAAGTTACATAAATAGGAAATGCTGGAAAAAGTACCTGTCATAGGAAGGAAAAAAAAAAAACAGCTTTCTAAAACAGAGATTTTACATAGTTGTTGTTGTTATGTGCCATCAAGTCAGACCCGACTCACAGTGACCCCTCCTTGGGTTTCCGAGGAAGTATCACTACAGAAGTAGATTGCCCAACCTTCCCTCCAAGGAGTGGCTGGTGGGTTTGAACCGCCAGCCTTCTGATTAGCAGTCAAGTGCCTTAAGTACTACACTACCAGAGCTCCCATTTTACATAGTAGATCTTCAAAAATGAACACATTTATAAACCAAAAAAACCAAACTCCTTGCCCTCGAGTCGGATCTGACTCATAGCGACCCCTCCTTGGTTTTCCAAGGTTGTATCACTACAGAAATAGATTGCCCAGTCTTCCTTCTGAGGAACAGCTGGTAGGTTTCAACCACCAGCCTTCTGGTTAGCAGTCAAATGTCTTAGGCACTAGCCATCAGAACTCCTTCTGAACTATTCAACAGCCTTCAGTAAATGATTTTCTGGTTAAATTAGCCAATTTCATTTCTGTTCCTTACATCCTTAACAACCATAATTGATGAGAAAACTGGAACCCTGAGGTAATCGTGGCCAAGAGACCTTCAGAGAAAAGAAGGAAGGAAGAGAAGGAAATTGGGGGCCAAGGTACGTAGCCTGGATAAGTATCTAGGAAGCAAAATTCCAGTTAAGGAATCAACACTGGCACTTGGTGATCAAACTCATAAGTCTTCTTATGGCAAGAAGGGTATATATTGATTTGGGGTCAGCCCAAAGAGTACCCTGCAACAGACTGTTTTCATCTTTTTATCCATTTTTCCAATATTTGGATCCCCCACCTTGTAAGGAAGAGCCCAGCTTACAGTGACCATGTAGGACAGAGTAGAACTGCCCCATGTTGTTGTTGTTAAGTGCTGTCATAGGGCATTGTTTTTAGCTCTGTAGCTTACATACCTGGTTCTCTGGCCTTTTTCAACATTCTGTGAACTACCCAATAGGTTTAATAAATTTTTGGTTAAATTAGTCAAAGTTAGTGTCTGTTGCTTGCAACGTAAGAATTATGACTGCTGTAGGAGGCAATCACTGCTCAAAACTGCACCATCTCCAAGTCTAAAACTTCACCTCTCCTCCACTCCTGTGCTTCATACTAATTTTATGACTTCTTTCCCATTTTGAAATCACTTTGGAATTCATTTTTGCCTTAATTCTCTGATTTTAAAATGTCAAGATGGAGAAAGAGCACTTTGAATTTACTGGGACTACCTTAATCTCAACCACAGAGCTGGTCTTGCACCATCAGCCCCAGGGATGGTTATGCATTGCAGTTCATCAGTAGTCACAATTCACGGCCTATTTAATAGTTCTTTTATTATAAAGGGCCTCTCATTGGGGGCTCAGAAGGAAAGTCAGGAATTAATTTGGCCAGAAAGAATACACTCTTTGGAATCAGACAAAAGATCAAGGGTGTGAAGTGTGTCCCCAAACCCACACAGGACAAATTCTTCCTGAAGCATTCAGCCCCATTGCCCGACGCTGCTCTCTGGATTGGTAGTATCTCACATCGCTACTCTAACCACCACAGCAAAACTTATCAATGTAATATCATCACCAAACAGAAGTTTCCTGGACTGATGAACAAATATTACCAGGGAAAGTTCAGTTTAACGGGGGGTTTCTGAAATCAGTAGCTTACTACAGAAAGCAAGAAGAGTTTTACATTTAAACCATTTTCATCTGCTTCCTCTGACTTTCTTGCCTTGGACCCAACTGGAGTCATTTGTTATTAATAGAAATTAAAGAGTCTGAAAATTATCATTGAACTATATGAAATTCTTAATGAAATACATAGCAAATTTCTTACAATTCCTCCAGAATGCCAGGTAGCCTTGCTAATCTTGTTAAATCTCTCCGGGAGCCTACTAAGGCTTTCCTGTAGATTTCCCAAGATGCCCTGCTAGAGCTGAGGATAAGAGGCCCCTTCTAGTCCTTTCTGGTTCTTGAGCGCATGGGGCCAGAGTCTACCAGATCCATTCCAGTGGAATTCACAGAGTGGAAACAAATCATGGCCACTGGCCTGGGTCCTCCAGACACCAAAAAAGCCCAGTAAGATAAAAGGTCATTTTGGGTCAATGCTTTTTTTTTTTTTTTTTTTCAGTGTTCCCTCCCCTCCCCTGCCACCTGTGGTAACCAACAAAGAGAGTTTTCTTCCATATATAAACCTTTCCTTGACTTTTTACAATAATTAACTAATACTGTATTTGTCAGTAAAAGATCATTTTGGAAGACAGCATCTACTTAGAAGAATTCTAGGTTGTGATGTATTTAATATGAATCAGGGAGCAGTCGAAATCACTGCTGTTCTAATATAATGGCAACCCTTTTACAACCTCTGATAACTCTATATTAAGGTGCTCTGGTGGTGCAGTGCCTAAGGTATCTGACTGCTAAGCAGAAGGTTGGCAGTTCAAACCCACCAGCCACTCCATGGAAGGAAGACTGGACAATCTACTTCCATAAGGATTTACCACCTCAGAAACTCACCTCGCTGTTAGTCTGAATGCGCTCGATGGCAGTGAGTTTGGTTGTAGCTAATACAAAGGATAAAAGTTGGGATGGCAGGGGCTGGGGCTATATAGGCAGAGTAGAATCTGAGGTCAAAGGTAAAACAGAACATGTAGAGGATGGAGGAATGTTTTATAACCACCTAAGATGCCCTGTTTCTTTGCTATTCATAAGGTTTTCCCTGGCCAATTCTTTCAGAAGTGGACGGCCTCTTCCTTCTTCCTAGTCTGTCTCAGTCTATAAA